AGTTCACCAAGAATGAGGTCTGTCTCATAATCTTATCTTCTCTCCCAACGTTCCTTAGGCTACAGTTCATTACCTGAATGTCCTGCTGGACGCTGTTGGCAACGACAAGTACCGACGGCTGTTCGACTTGTACCACGGGTCTGCTCTCTCCATCGCGATCGACACCACGGGCTCCATGGTCGACGACATCGCAGCGGTCAAGGAGCAGGTGCAGCAGATCGTCGACAGCACTTCCGCCGAACTCTTCATCCTGTCGCCGTTCCACGACCCAAGTGCGTCAGTGGCTTGCCGGCAGTACTCTCCATCCCTTCTCGTTATCGGCCGCAATCAAAGGCAGACATAGTCGACATATCCAAATGCCCCTTTCATCTCCTTTATCATCTCTCTCTCTCTCTTTCTCTTCACGACGTAGCTGTGGGACCCGGACTCAAGACGACCGATCCCCAGGAGTTCATGGACGCCGTCAACGCCCTCCACGCCGGCGGCGGCTGCTGCGGCATCGAGGAGAAGTTCTGGGGCGGCCTGCAGGTGCGTGTCTCTGGGGCTGAGTGAAGGACCGGGTTTTCTTCTTGCCGAATGCTTACTCGGGTCAAGGGCTGTTACCAATACGCACTTTGCTTAACAGTAATATCAATTTTCAACAGAAGAGAGAGATAGAAAAAAATTGCTAAGGAAAGAAAAAAAAAATAGTTTCAATAATAAAAAAAAAAAAAAAAAAAAAAAAAACAAGTCAACAAGAAATAAAAGATTTCTTGCTTTGCTTAACAATAACGCCAATTTTCAACAGAAGAGAGAGAAAAAAATGCTAAAGAAAGAAAAAAAAAAATAGTTTCATCTAATAGATAAATAAATAATCAAATAAACAAACAAGTCAACAAAAAATAAAAGATTTCTTGCTTTGCTTAACAATAACGCCAATTTTCAACAGAAGAGAGAGATAGAAAAAAATGCTAAAGAAAGAAAGAAAAAATAGTTTCATCTAATAGATAAATAAATAAACTATCAAATAAGCAAACAAATCAACAAAAAATAAAAGATTTCTTGCTTTGCTTAACAATAATGTCAATTCTCACCCGAATAGAGAGAGAAAAATAAAATACAAAAGAAAGAAAGAAAAAAAAAAAAAAAAAATAAATAAACAATTAAACTATCAAATAACCACAAAAAAAAAAAAAAAGATTTCTTACACTACGTACGAACCAAACACCCTCTCCTCCTTGCACAACAATCTACTGACTCGCTTGACCTTTGACCCGCGCCGACCCAGCTTGCCCTCAGCATGACCCCGAACTACGGAGACATCTTCTGCTTCACCGACGCCGGAGGAAACGACGGAGAACTGATGGAGGGCGACATCGCAGTTGCTCAGCAGCAGCACAATAAGGTGAGGAAGCGACGAGGATCCGAATGAGAATTTAAAAGAGAAAAGAAAAGAAAGAGAGAGAGAGAGATAGAAGGAGAGAGAGGGAGAAGGGAGAGAAAGAGAGAGAGAGAGAGAGAGAGAAGGGAGAGAAAGAGAGAGAGAGAGAGAAATAAGGAGAGTAAGTGAGAGAGAGAGAGGGGAGAGAGAAAGAGAGAGAGAGAGAGAGAGAAAAAAAAAGAAAAAAATGATAAAGAATGGAATTTGGAAGTGAAAGCATGCATCATCAACTTAAAATGAAGTAGGAATCATCCACCTTCTTCCTCTAAATCATAGGGACGAAATAAGGAACGATTTTATATTTTGAAAGACCGAAATATCGATTTCCCATTTTCTTTCACGGCGTTAGAGCACGGACTATCCTAAATTCTACCCTGGAAAAAATCGAGGTCTTACTCGCCAATCTCCCTCTCTTTCTCCCTCACTATCGCAGGTCACCATCATCTACAGCTCCAACAACAGGGCCGGCAGCGAGCGGGACGTCCTCACCCACGTACCGGAATACCAGTACCTCGCAGATTCGACGGGCGGCTTGTACATTCCCTCGGAGAAGTTCGACATCGAAGCCATCACGCCCATCCTTGGCGAGGGCGTGGAGAGCCAGAGCGTAAGTTGGGCGACTGTCGTAACTTCAGTCATCGTGGGCGTTTTCAGTTCCTTTCTGGGCGGGTTTATTTGCGTTGTTCGCATCATTAGCAGTGTCAGCATATGCATCGTTATTAACAAGTTGTCATTATCTTTTTTAATATTATCTTTAACATCTTAGTTTTCATGTTTAACATGGCTACATTTTTACAATCTAAATGACAATAACAAATAGACAAATAAAATAATTATGCAGACATCACAATTTGATACAGAAATTGGCCTTCTATTTAAGGTGTTATTTCTGGTCAGTCAACTATACAAAAAAAAAAAAAAAAAAAAATAATAATAATAATGATAATAATAATAATAATAATAATAATAATAATAATAATAATAATAATAAAATAAGTTAAACTAAATCAATCAATACAAATAAAAGTGCTGAGTTGTGCAAAGTCCATTTCGCTTTAAATCAAAGCATAATGCCACAGTCTGGTAAGGGGTGAGCTTGTCACATTCTAGATTACTTAAAACCATTTAAATCAGGCAGGTGAGATAATACAAATTCGTATTCATCCAATGACGTAGCGCGTTCATGGAGGAGAAGTAATCCCGACATTAATACTTGTGAATATCCTATTAACCAATGCTTCTGTAACTAATTTAGAAGTAAGATAAGGTGTCTCGATTAAGTCATACATCAAGACAAGATGGTTGATCAATTCATCCATTAGGGCAAGATTGTTAATTAAGCTAATCGAGATCGAGATCGCTGATTAATTCACACATCAAAACAAGATGGCAGATTAGCCCTTCCATCCAAATAGAAATGATTCAACTCCCCATCGAGATAAGACCTGCCTGAGGAATGTTCCTCTCACAAAACCCTCGTCGTCGCTCCCGCAGGTGGACGTGACGATGGTGAAGGGCCTGACCGGACCCAACGACCTCGAGGTTCCCATCGACGACTCCATCTTCGACTTCCAGGTCCGTCTCTCCGGCACAGTGACCGAAGCTGTTCTCAAGGACATCACGGGTGAGCCAACTTTACCTCCGATGAGTCTTGTGCGTCGTGTCAGAACACCAGAAGTCCCTCCGTCTTGGGGACTCTTTGATAGGTCACTTTAGGCTGGGAAATGAGAGATATTAAGATTCCTCCACCTCCAGGCACTGCGTACGACCTCACGGACCAAGCCTCCCTGGACAGCGACCCGAACGTCGAGGTCATTGCCTACAGCCCCAGCCTGAAGGCCATCCGCTGGCTGTCCCCTCGCTACGGCCAGTGGAACCTCCACACCGACTCCAGCTCCACCTACAGCATCTCCGTCAGCGCTAACTCCACCCTCAGCTTCATGGGCGACTTCTCCATTCTGGATCCCCGCCCTCCGCATCCCCACTACGAGCTGGTGGAGGGACGTCCGCTTATCAGTGAGTCCACCTCATTCGTCGGTCGTTCTGCTGCGGCTTTATGATAGAGTTCTGCAAAAGCACATATGCTGATATATTCGCTAAGGTTATTCGGGTTCCATTGGCTGAATATACATTTTATTGATTTTTCTTTCTTTTTTAAGACGTGTGTTTCTTGTGTTTGTGTTTACTTCATTGTTGTTTCTGACTGCTTCTCTCCCAGACACGGTGTACTACATCGATATTGTGCTCGTCGGTTACCTGGAAAGTGACGTCACTAACGTAAACAAAGTTGAATACGTAGACAAGGTAAATACACAAACGTGAATAAAGAGCATTGCAAACATCTTTCAGGTGAAAGACTGCAGAAAATAAGAATATAAAAATTGCAAATATTTGTGTCATAAAATAAACCTATATATTTTTTTCTCTTAGACTGGATCGCTCCTCCGCACAATCCCTTACCACGGCGAGGTCGACGACGAGTTCTACATTCGATCAGATCCTCTCCCCGAAGAGCCCTTCTACATCAAGCTGTATGGTCACGTTGGATCAGGTAGACAATGCAGTTGTGCCTTAAATTCGGTCTTGCTCCGATTTCAGTTCTTTTGGCATTTGTTGCTTCACTCAGGCAGTCGGTTCTCGTCTTTTCTCACGTTGCCATAAGGCCTTTCGTGGGGCAGGATCCGGTGAATGGACCAGCATTACGCTACTTCCAAACCTAAGATTAGGCATTCAGTTCACATGAAAAAAGTAAGGCCACTGCCAACTTCGAACTAATTCAGACCAATTATTCGCGAATAAGTTCAAAAAAAAAAAAAAAAAAAAAAAACACGTACCAAATCACGGAGCTTCAACCGCTCTCCTCGACCAGGCAATGTGTTCTGTCGCCTCCTCTCCGTGATCATGTCGCCCGTGGAAACCAGCGTGGGAGTCCTGGCGACCGCCGACGACCTCTCCGCGCGCCCGGGGGAGACCGCCACAGGGGACTTCATCGTCTCCAACTTCGGCCTCGACTCCTACTTCAAGATCACCGGCACGGACGATAAGGGCTTCCTGACCAGCATCACCCCGGACAGGTGAGGAATCCGAGACAGACGTGGCGGGGTTATATGACGTCGTGTCTTCAGTTCTGTCTTGAAGAAGGAAAATAACTACGTGTCTCTCGTTCTCTCGACTTGCAGAATATTCCTGAAGTTCAACGAAACGGGAACCGTGACCGGGCATTTCTCAGTGGCATCCAGTGAAATCCCCGGTACAGTCAGCATCATCACAGTCACCGCCCAGAGTGAAACCCAGACCCAGTCAGTGAACAGCGCCATCAGCCAGTTCCTCGTCCTTCCTCTTGTTAGTATTTTTACCGGTTCGATGACAAACACACACACTCACATCTATCAAGAGTTGTGCACATTTTCCTTCTTGGCCTCCTGACACTGCCATATCCAAATGCCTCTAATTAAGTCCCGGTCTCTAGGTGACGGACGTCGACACCCCGATCTGCAGTCCCTCCTCTACCCCAGACTGTACAGGCTACAACCTCAATGGCATCTGCAGCGAGAAGAACTGGACCGTCAGTGCTACTCTGCAGGACAGTAATTCAGGTGTGTAATGCACGTATGTTCATGAGCATGGCATTCCTGGTTGCCATGTATGGCACAGACACTAAGACTGCATGACATACTAAGACTCTGCATGCCACACACATAGATTCTGCATTTGACAACTACTTTGCATGACACAGACACTAAGACTGCATGACACACTAACTACAACTATAAGACTGCACACTAAGACAACACACCAAGACTATGCTGCAGACACAAAGCCCTGCATGACGCAGACACTAAGCCTCTGCTTGCCACACACATAGATTCTGCATTCCACAGGCACCAAAACTCTGCATGACACACACACTAAGATCTGATCGTTTGAAGCTTGATCGATCCTCTTTCCTTTCCAGGTCTGAGCGTCGTGTATGCCAGGCCTGACGGCTTCCAGACAGATGTCAGCGCCTTCACCCCCGGAACGACAAGTGACGTCAGCGTCACGTATTTCGCCTCCTGCTGCACCACACAGGTAGACATCATCGGCGTCGACGTCCAGGGCAACATCGGGAAGTGCCAGATTGACATGGGCACTCTTGGAGGTACGTGGCACTGGAGTCTTCCACGCTGAGATTCGCCCTTTTTCACCTCTCGCCATGAGGAATAAATTCTTTCCCGTTTCTCAAGTTTGAAATGGAACGAATGAACTTTATATATGGCATACTGATGGTCACGTTCTCGTCCTCACTCCAGGGTATGTGTTTGACTTCGAGGCGGTAACGGAGGGCGTGACGTGGGTGTACCTGCGCTGGAGCATCACGCCCACAGAGTACGCCATCCACAAGTACACTCTCCTTATCAACAACGACTTCACTGAAGACGTCCGCTGTCCCGATGTTCGTCTTTTCTCTGTTTCTTTTTCTCTTTTAATTTGTCTCTCTTTCCCTCCATCACGGATCATAAAATAAGTCAAATCAACACCTGAACATGAGGAATTTATCGCTAAAGAAGGCCGAGGAGACCAAAGAACAATATGGCGTCCGGTAATTCTTACATTTTCCCTTCGTTTTCCCTTCTGCAGTTGACTTGCTACCACAACGTCACGTACTTGGACGCGTGTTCGCTGCAGACGTTCAAGCTCACGCCCGTTTTCACCGTGAGCGGAGGAGACCGCGCAGGGGAGCCAGCTTTTACCGATGCCAACACGCTTGATAATGGTAATGTTTTGCGCATCTGTTCGTGATACGTGATATTTTGCGGAAGGATGGTAATAAGTGTGATGATTCCTCTCTTTCCTTTTCAATTTTTTCTTTATTTTTGTTTTCGGTGTCCTTTTCCTTCTTCCTTTCTAATTCTTTTTTCTTTTTTTTAGTTTACTTTCTTCTTTTTGTTTTCTGCGTCTTTTTCCTTCTTCCTTTCTAATTTATATAGTCGTCCCCCGCTCCTCTCTCCTTTCCACCCTCCTCTCTCTCCCCCTTCTTCCCTCTCCTCCTCTCTCTCTCTCCCCTTTCCACCTCCTCTCTCACATCCTCTCTTTCTCTCCCCTTTCCACCCTCCCTCTCTCACATCCTCTCTCTCTCCTCTTTCCACCCTCTCTCTCTCACATCCTCTCTCTCTCTCTCCCTTCTTCCCTCTCCGCCCAACCCCCCTCTCTCTCTCTCCTCAATGTCCTTAAACGGTGTCCATTTTCCCCCTTCAGAACCAGTACCTCCTACCAACGGCCAGATCCTGAACGCAACGGAGACCACAGTTACCGTTTCCTGGGACGGCGCCAATACCAAGTGTGTCAGCCAGTATCAGGTGCGATTTAGGATTTCGTTCTGTAACCCTGAGGGGAAAGAATGCATGAACCTGAGTTTGGGATTTCGTTCTATATGCCTGAAAAAGGGCTGATATGAACATGTGGCTGGTTATTCGTCCCCCATTCTGGCTCCCGAAGCGTTTCCTTGGATTTTTCACCGATCTCCCATGTTAATTGAGCCCCTTAACCACTCTTATCTTATTCCGTGCACTAAGTCCCACGCTGGTTGGCGTTCTCCTGGATTCTCCCGAGGGACCTTGGATCACCGACAACCCCCGATCTATCCATCAATCCATCAATCCATAACTCACCCTGTGGCTTGCATTCCCCCGAGGGACCTTGGATCACCGACAACCCCAATCCATCCATCTATCCATAATTCCCCCCTGTGGCTTGCATTCCCCTCAGGGACCTTGAATCACCGACAACCCCCCCAATCCATCCACCTATCCATAATTCCCCCCCTATGGCCTTTTCACCTCCTCTCTCACCCGAGGTTTCTCTCCCCCAGATCTGCTACCGACCGTTCGGCTTCACGGCCTCCGAGGTCTGCGAGAGGACGGCGCTCACCACCTACAAGCTGCGAGGTCTGGAGGCCTGCGCGGCGTACGAGGTCACGGTCACGTCGCTGTCCCCGCTGGGCGTCCCGAGCTCCGATTCGCTCTCGTTCTTCGTCAACACCGATGAAGCGCGTGAGTGAGGTGGATGGGCGGGTGGTGGTGGGGGTGGATGGGCGTGGT